CCCTTAAAAGTACGAATTTAAAAAAAGTACCACACACCCATCTGCTTATTTTAAGAGTAGCTACAGATGCATTTAAAATTTTTATTGTATAACTAATATTAGTTAATATAATTAAGAAAACCTGTTTTACCAGTTTTTTTCCTTTTTTACCCCTAAATGTACATACAAATTTTTTAACATCGCTCCTTAGTGGATCTACATAACAAAAAAACACATCTACTGTGCGACTACTAACACTACTCTTTTATATATAGATTAATTAATTTTTAAATAATAATATTAATTCTTGCTATAACTAATTTCTTTAATTTTTTACAGATCATCCTATAGAAATCAACGCTAATTCACGGAATAATGAGCTGATGATTTTAACAAAGTAGAACAGAAGCTAAGGACTCGGCTGTTTTATGTTATTTGTATATTTATGATATTCATTTCATTAATTATATTAATTGTTTTTAAATAAATAAAAATACATTTGTATGTACGTGATGACTGTTATCAAGAGTTATTTGTTGTCTTTATTTAATTATCAGTATTATTAGAAGAAAATCCTTCTTTACCTAGTTCAAAATTTTTCCTAACATGGTAACATATTAAATATTCATAATTCATAAAAATATCATTAGTACTAATGAATCATTTCATTCATTTGACTTATTTACCACAAACACCTATCTTAATACACAACCAATCACACAATTGTGTTTGTGACGTCACATTCAAAATGAAAACAATTTTAAGCAATATCATTTTAACCACAAAATTCATTTGCTAATACCAAGCGCACAAAATCCAACGAAACGCAATAGGCATAGTTGAAAAAATTTGTTCAAGCAATTTTCTTCACATACTTTTAGGCATTAATTTAATGAAATATTCGCAACACCCGGTACAGCATTTAGCTGTACAGGCAGACTCAAATACTTTTCAGCTCCTTAAGGTATGCTGTGCAAAATTTTGAAAAAATAAACACCTTGCTGGTTTTTTTGCGATTCTGTGCTCCTGTTACACAAAAATCAATTTGTGGGCAAATTTCGATTGTAAAAATTTTGCAGTCAGTTTTGGTGTGACGTCACATTGTAGAAAATGCATGTGTGTGTATGTTATGTTTTTGTTCATATAAGAAATGCATGTTGTTTGATGATGTTTTGTGATAATATGCAGATTATTATGGTTTAAATTAAATAAAAATAAAACAAAATGTTTTTTAATTTATTTATTAAATTATTATTTATAAAAAAATAAAATTTACAAAATAATAACAATAAATAATTTATTTATTTAATTGATAATTTAGAGAAGATAATTAAGATTTTTTAACCATGAATACAGTTGTGTAAATGTTTTTTATTAACGAAATGTTTTTGATTCTTTTTGTGATTGATCCTTATCTATTGCGTCAAATACTGAAACTTTGTAAACATACCTTAAGGATTTGAGTATTTCTAACTATGTATCCTAAATGAATTCAAGTTCTCCGATGAACACATACAAAAATTGAAAGAGGAACATGCTTAAATTGCTATGTAAATTGCTTTTGTGTGTTGCTGATTGGTTACAACGGCAACCACATTTTAGACCGTGTCCTTGCTCATACAAACGTGAAAATCGTGAAGGGTAGAGTGTGGTTGTTTTCAACTATCCATTCATTTGAACGATAAATTGTTATTGGATTGAACATCAAAGTTCAATTCTTTTCACCAGTGCAGGCAGCTGTTTTCGTACATACAGTATGTTTTTTTGCTTTTATCGCTGTTTTGGCCAGCATATAAAAATGCAAAATTGTGTAAAAACAAGTGAAGAAGAAAACAAGTAAGAATTTATAGTCGTGCATGGCCGATCATATGATACCCTACACCAGTGATGATGTTAAAAATTTGTATTATTTTTTTACTAATAAAGTATTTAATTTCATTTTTGCCTTAATTCAGAAATATTATTGCTGACAAAAAAGGAATTGGGGTTATATGGGGGCAGGGGGTTTATATGGTCCTATCTTTTGAAAGTTTGGTGGAGGGATTTAGGTTAGGTTAGTTATTTTTGCAGAATATCATCATGATATTAGTGTTTATAAGTGAATTTTGACCATCAAGTCATTTTCTGAAGAGGACTTTGTATAGAGGATAGGGTCAAATAAGGCCCGATAATTATGAAAGCCAGCAGTATTATTGAGACTTATATAAAACTAAGTTTTGCCGACTTTTGAAGTGATACAAGAACATCAACATATTTTTGAGCTCAAAAGCCCTATTCGGGGGGTACGGTTGTATGGGGGCTATACGAAATAATGGAACGATTTTAACCATTTTCAATAGGCTTGTGTCAAAAGAAAAGCATGTGCGAAATTTCATCAAATTATCTTGAAAATTGCGACCTTTAGAGTGCACACAGACAAACAGATAGAAGGACGGACATAGCTAAATCGACTAAGAAAGTGATTCTGAGCCAATTGTTATACATTAAGGTGGGTGTAGGACCAATATTTTTGGGTGTTACAAACATCAGCACAAACCCATAATACCGTATAGTTGTGTAGAGTATAAAAACCAACAAAGAAAATTTAAAAAAAAAATTATTTTAAGTGTAGATTTCTGAAATACGTAAAAGATGTAGATGTAAACTGAATTTATGCAAGTTAAAGGCATTGAATGTAAACTAACTACATATGTATCATGATCAAATAAGCCAGATGTTAAACACATACAAACAAACTCTATATAGTATAGTTGAGAAATATGCCAATTATCTCATTTTATAATTTTATGCTAGAGGTCTTTAATCTGTCTTTCAACATTCAATTCGTTTGTCAAACCACCAGCAGGTTGCCTAAGGAGGCAGAACTTAAAGCTGCAAGTATTCTCAACAATCATTTTTTACCGTCTTTTTTCTACTCCTCTGTCCGCAATTCAACATGTTGCTTAAGTGTTTGTTGTCAACATGTAGCCTGCAGAAACCTTTTAGTTTTTTTATATTGTTTTAACCTACTTCTAGTGTAAATAAAAAATAATGTATTTTTACACTTTTATTTGGAGTGCAATTCAGTTTGATTTTTTCTATATTCCTATTTTTCACGATTTTTGTTTTTTTTTGTTTCTATTCCTGCATTTATGCTATCTATTTTCACTTTAGTTTTTTTTATTGAAATTTAATACAAGTGTCATTGAAAATATTTTCAAGTTTGATTTAGTTTATTCAGTATTTGAATTTTTCTATTCATTTTCCGTTTTTTTATGCATTTTAAATATTTGCATTATTTATTTCACTTTATTTCATTTGTTCAGGTTTCATTTTCTTCATATTTTTAAACAAAACGAAAATTTATTGAAATATGAAATTCATTTATTTATTTTTAAGGGCATGAATTTTAAATGGATTTTTTTTGTGTGGTTTAATTTAGTTTTAATAAATCTATAACAACAATTTCTGATTGGAAAAAATAATATTTCGTTTTGTTTTAATATTTTTGTGAAAAAAATTACAATAGTTTACAAATAGTTTTTTTATACTCTACAACACTATAGTGGAGAGGGTATTATGCGTTTGTGTTTATGTTTGTAACGCACAAAAATATTGGTCCTACATCCACCTTAACGTAACCTATCGACTCAGCATCACTTTCTGAATCAATTAAGACATGTCCGTCCGTCCGTCCGTCTGTCCGGCTGGCTGTTCATGTAAACCTTGTGCGCAAGGTACAGTCCACAATTTTCAAAATATTTTGATTAAATTTGGACCATATGCGCACAAGGACGATCTCTTCTGAAAATGGTTAAAATCGGTCCATTATTTAACCTAGCCCCCATACCACCAAACCTTCCTATTTGGGGTTCTTAACTCTTCGTCAAATATACTACTATCTCTCCAAAAGTAGGCATAAACGACCATGGAGATTTTTTTTTTTTGACCCTAGCCCCCATACAAACCCCCTTTAAAAAATATCTTAAACGTCCAAAAATTGACTTATAACCATTAGTATCGCGCTGAAATTCAGCATAACTAACTTTAATATAAAAATAACTCCCTCCTACCAATTTATTGGGGATCGGCCCATATTTGACCCTAATTCAGATATAAAGCCTCTTTTACGAATTTTGTTTTTCATCAATAAATTACTTAATCGATATATCGAAATTAAGGTAAAATTCAACATAAAAGTTTCTTTATGAAAAATAATTTTCCAAATATACTCATGGTCTTGGGTATCATATAGTCGGCCACGCCCGACAATACTTTCCTACTTGTTTATTCATTTGTTGGTGGTTGTAAATATTTATTGTGGTATATTTTAGACTGTTTAAATGAAAGTGAAATATTAAAAAAAAAAATCTCACAAAAAAGAAAACCACTTTATATAGTCCAAAAGTTTGGTCAAATATTGGAGAATTTATATTAAATTAAAATGTATGAAATTCAATTTGATAATTTAGTTGTCTTTTATAGAAAACTATCGACTAAAATTTTGTAGAAAATAGTTATGATAAATTTTCGATAAATTCTCTATAAAAAATTTCTGATATCGAAAAATATTCTTTAGAAAATTTCAGTTATAAATATATTTTCTATATAAAATTTCAATTATATAGAAAATTCTTGTTATTGAATCATTTACTATAGAAAAACCTAAACGCTTCACAAAATCAGCAACAACTAAAAAAGTTATAACAAAAAGTTTTATAAATTAAAATACTATAACTACTATAAATGAATTAAATAAAAATATACAATTCACAGCCTTTTAATGCTTTTAAAATGAGCTAAATTTTGGGTTTTTAAAAACAATAACAAAAATATGATAATAATTTAATAATAAAAAAAAACTTTGCAAATATTTAACCCTAAATTAAAACAAAAGAAAAATTATAAAATTTGGAAAAAAACATCTACACACATATACAGAAAAATTTATACAAATTTAAATTGAATATTATGAAAATAAATGAATGATTTTATCATATTATAATTAATTAACTAATTAATAGTTAAAATTTATTGCTGGCGAAACCTTATTTTCGTAGTTGATTATTTTTAATTTTGTTTTATTTTTTGTTTGTAGTTATTGATTTAAATCCGTTTAGGGTTTTTTTTTTTAATTTAGTTTAATCACTATTTGTAATTTACAAAATCTAAGCAAAAAATAACCAAATCTAACGTCTATAATGATACATATTATAACCCATAGGTGTGCTGCCCATGGCACGTTCGGTTGCCTTTTCGATACTGGCATGAACGCACCGATAACAGCACACATAGGCCAAACATCACTTGAAGAGTATGCGGCGAAACGCTCGCCGAAAGTCCTTGTTGAAAATGGTATAGATGGCCGGATTGAGTGCTGAATTCATGTAGCCGAGCCAAAAGGCAATGGCAAACGCCGAATCGGGTATATGACAATGAGTCGAGCACGCTGGCATTAGAATGTAGAGAAAAAAGAAAGGCAGCCAGCAGGCAATAAAGGAACCCATTATTAGACCCAATATTAGGGTGGCTCGCTTCTCTTTTTTCCGTGCTATACGCCGTTTCTCCTTTTCGGGATCGCGGGGCTTTTGTACTTTCGGTATGGCAGGTTCGAGTTCGGCTTTAACGATCTCAGCGTTTTGTTTCGGCACATCCTTAACCGTCACCGTTTTCGATTCATTTTGTCTTCGGTTATTGTTGGACTTGCGACCAAATATTGGCTGACATAAACGAAATTTTAAAGGTTTTACGACCGCACAACGACTTACAACTCCAGAATCTGAACTTGATGGATCAAATTCACTTACCATATCAGGATCGACGCCTACCGACAGGGCTCGACAACGTCCCGCCAATGGTGAGACCTTCAGTTCGTTCGCATTGGAGGCCGTCAGCGTTGTAGTGGTGGTAGTCGTCGTCGTTACACTACCATTGTTGTTATTTAAAGCAATTGCTGTCGTTGTCGTTGTGCTGTTATTATTGGCAGCCATTGATGGTGGCACGGGTACATTTAAGGCCCCATGACCCGTTGTTATTGTACTCACTTTTAGGGTTTCTTTACAATTCGCTGATGCACTTAAATTACTTGGTATGTCTACATTATTGGAGGGCAGGAGACCCATATTACTACTACAACTACTATTGGGATAAACAAGGGGATGCGGTTCCATTTCCGCTGCCTCGGAGGTGGAAATGTCTGATGCTAAATCGCAGGTTACAGTTGGTATTTGCATTGGTAGTGCTCCGGCACTATTCGGTGGTGTTTCGATTGTGGCTATTTGGTGTTGTTGGTGTTTTTGCAGTGCACCCGCACTCGAGGATGGCATTGGTATGGTACCTTTTTTATTGGCGGTGGTAAAGCTGGTAACCTGTAATTGTTAAAAGAGAGAGAGAAAGAGAAAACAATTTGATTATTTCATTATACTTGTGTGTTTAGTTGCTTAAACGTTATTTTTAAAAATGATTTAAAAGAAAATGACAATTTAATTACATTTTCCTGGCAGCCATCTATTACATGTGTGTTATTTACATGCAAATTATTTGCTGATTCATGTTTACACTCATGTGTTTTTTTCTTCTTTGTGTACGGGGAAAAAACTGCACAAGAGACAACTTCAGTGCAGCACAATATGAACAGATATAATGGGCCATCTTCTACGTACTTATTTGGTCAGGAAGTTGAACAATGTTACGAAAAAAATAGTTATCGTTTTTACCAATTTCTTTCTGTACAATTGAAATCAATTCCTTTTCAATTTCCTGCCAACAATTTGACAATTATTGAGCCATCAGTTGTTAATCTTAATGATGAGATGAATACGATGAATGGCTACATATAGTATATAGAAGCATCAAATTTCCATTTGTATTGAAAAATGTGACGACAATAGTTGGAAATTTACAGTAAAGAAGAAATATCTAGGTATGTGGAAGACTATGACATTGTTGGGCATTGGCGAAATCAGAATGAATAAGTTTTTTTTATCAAATTAGTTAAAAGGCGCTGAAAAATATTCAAATTTTGATGATTTTTGAAGAACATTTTAGTGAAAATTTCACAGTGGTAAATGAGATTAAATTCTTTTATATTAAAAAAAACTGGAAATGAGTACTTAATTCAGGAAAAATATTAAATTGCCATTTTTTTAACTTTAACCAGAAAATATGTCTTTTGGCGAAAAAGTTTTATTTCTTTTATGTAAAAATCTGATTTATGAGAAAATATTGTTTTTTGGTCATTTACATCATAATAATAACAATTTAAGCGGAAACCAACAATTTCTTAAAATTCTCCATAAATATTCAAGATTTTGTTAAACACATTTAATGTAATTCACATGTAAAATCCTGTTAGATAAATTTAAGAACATTTCTTGCAATTCTTCATAAATTTACAACACCTATTGAACTCTTCTAATGAAATCGACTTGTAATATCCTATTTGATAAATTTAAGAAAATTTTCTCTTTAAGATTATCTTACAAAGTAATGCACCAAAACAGTCCCATTCATCAATATTTTTATTCAACATTTATTACTTTTTTTCATTTTGTTTTAAGATTGAAGAGGAATAAATGCAGATTAAAAACTCGTGTAATGCACACGTGACAATAAATTTAATACATCCCATATGCCATGCGATTCCAATCAATTTTACTTAACTCATTTCCCACGTATATCCCGTACAACATGTACAGCGTGTATTTACATTTAAACAGTGAAGAGCAAAATTTTAGATGAAAGTCTAAGTAGAATGAATTGAAAAAAAAAATTTCAAATACTTTGTGGGAACATTCATTCACTTGATCTAATTTAATAATTTGTCTCAATACAATTTGTATTTAAATGCAATAGTTTTTGTTTGTCACTGTTAATATATGTACGTCTTCATGTTCAATGTCTTGTAGTTTTGTTTGTGGTATGTACATATGTACGAGTGTGTGTATGTTTCTGTTGTAATCTGTCAATACCTTGAAATCTGTTAGCTTGTTTAAGATGGAACGAGTAGAACAAATTTTTACAAAAATTGTATGCGTACTTGTATTTGTGTAATTGTTTTTTTTACAATTCGGCAATTTGTTGTTGTTTTTCTCTGTCAAACATTTATTAATCAAGAATTTTATTTACTTTTTTTTGCTCATGTTTCTTTTGTAGGAATAAATGAAGAACTTGTAGGAAAATCAACGATTAAATAAATAAATAAATGACTGAACCTACATACATATATGCGAGCAATAACAGAGATGTTTGAGGTTCGATATCTTGAAATGTAGTTTCCGTTTTATACATTATACTAGCTATACCCAGTGTGCTTTGCTACCATCTTTAACTCTAACTGCTCTAACAGTTTTCTAGATATACGAATTTTTATATTTAATTCATATGTTTCAAATATTACCCAAATGCTCATATAAGTGTAGAGTTCTTCGTGCAGAATTTAATATTCTAGCTGTAATAGTTTTCCAGATATACTTACTTCATATGGGAGGTACAGGATCCCCTAATAAAAGTCCGCCCATTTTTCTCCGAAATGTTTAAATGTATGTTAAAATTCTTCGTACAAAATTTGTAGATTCTAGCTGCAATAGTTTCCTAGATAAACGAATTTTTGAATTTAATTTATATGGGAAGTACCACGCCCCTAAAATCTAGTCCGCTAATTTATTACCCAAATGTTTCCACGGATGTCACAATAGTACGTGGAAAATTTTAGCTCTAATAGTTCCTCAGATATAGAAATTTTTGTATTCAATGGAAGGTGTCAAGGCGCCCTTATGCAAGTCCTCCCAATTTCTCCTAAATATTCCCATAGATGTTAAAGGTCAATTTTAGGATTTCATCTACAATAGTTTTCCAGGTAAATGAATTTTAGGTGAACCACCCCCCTTATTTCTAGTTTGCCCAATTTCTGTTCTAAGCATTCATGTTGATAATAAAGTGTCTCCGAAATAAATGAAGACTCTAGCTGTTATATTTTCTCAGATATAGTTTAATATTTTCTTTATATGGGAAATGCCACGACCATTATAGCTAGACCTTATGTGCCCATTTAGCTGTCTATAAAGTCCAAACAAACATACAAATACACATTCATTTTTATATATACTGGTAGATAGATAAAAGTTAGTTAAGTTGAACTTAATCGTGATACTAATGAATTTTTGAAGAGATACTGGTATATTTCATGTAGTTATAAGCTAACGAGTCTAAATCGGGAGGTTCCTTTGTATGGGAGCTAGGTGAAATACAGGTACAGGTAGCAGGACGTACATGGCTGAATAGACTTTGAAAGTGATTCAGAGTCAATCGGTATATTTTAAGACAAACGCAAAATTCCCTTCCCACTATGATATAGAGTATAATTGCAGAATTGTTGCCACATATTTCGAAGAAATAAGAACCCTTATGTTCCTCACAATTCTCCATATTTTCGATAAAATTTAAGAAATTTGATTTACAAATGGTACTGAGATCTGGATTTTCAATCGCTGCCAGAGAACTGAGGACATTTTCAAAAACTTAAATTGTATTTTTTCCCTTATTCACTATAGCAATTGTTTGAGAGGTGTGTCTACAAAAAAGTTGCCCACGGGACACTCTATTAGATATTGGTATACTTTAAAATGTTACTTCTGCGCGTTAGAAACTTATTAAGGTTTCATTACATATAGTCTAAATATAATATAAATTAAACCTTTTAAACCAAAGTTGATTAAGAGGAACCATTTAAACATATTAAGTCCGCAATAAAATATTTTGTTTGAATAAATGCGTACTATTAAGTTTTTTTCTATTTACTCATTACACCAAATATACATATATGTATGTATATAATACTCATACACAACCAATTTTAATTTTTAGAAAAAATCAATTAAATTTTTAAATTGGTTTCTAAACTCAACTACTTCAAGCAATGTAGTCATGCATCCTCATCATCTACTCAGCAATGACTTGCCAATATTAAAATGTGCCAAACAAAAAAAGAAAAATACGAAAAAAACAACACTTGAGTAGATACTCCATTTACCTCTTCAAATACATAATGAAAGTCAAGTGGAAACAAAAAAAAAAAAAAAACGTTTTTTTAACTACTAAGAGTTTTTTTCCATTTATAGTTTAAATCCATAGAGAGAGATAAACAAATAAAGTTTTATATGGAAATTTTAGTGAAAAGTAAAAAAAAAACTTTGACAAGTAAAATGCAATTGCAATGGCAACAAATACGACATTCGACTATTAAACACTTGTGTGACAAAGTGTGGCAAAAGTTAAATGAAACTGTGATAAAAATTTGTAACATACGAATTAAACAAACCACCAGTGATAAATTTGATTATATCGAATTATATATAGCCTTCGCAATAATATTTTTTTTATTAAATAACAATAATGTTTTTGAGATATGAGTTTATTCCAAATAATGATATTTTTGAACATACATATTTTCGGACGTTATGAATATCAAAAGAAAATTTGCTGAAGTACTACTCGAGCTATCTAATCTCTTGCCATAGTAGCCCCGTTGCGAAATGACAGGCAGCATGGCATCAATCCCAATGCATCATTCTCCGACTAGGACACTACCCCAACATCAGGTGAAATCAATAATCCGGTAAACCGGAGGGTGACCACCCTTATGATGCCATGAAAGATTGCATTATTTAAAATGCAATCCCCATCAACTAATGGCCCATTCTAGCGCATTCCTTAACCTTTTAAAGTCCGCGCAACCACAATACTAAGATGGCTCTGTTGATTCGGCAACAGCACCCAGAGACGTATTTGGTAGTCCGAAATACCCAGCCAACAAATCGGGATCCCTCTTTATGTCAGATAATATGACAAAGGATGTAGGAATTTTCAAAGTTAAATCGAACCCAATTTTCCCCGGGATATTGCAATAACACCAAGATGGAGATTTCACCAAGGTAACATGCCCCCGGGGGGATGAAGTAAGTAAAGTCTGAAAAGCGGAAATGTCCACATGAAGAGAATGCATTAACATTGTACCAATAAACAACTGAGGAACAAGTTTTAAATATGTGCAAATGTGAAAATGTTTAATACAATGTACACAGAAAAATCAGTTACAGTTGCAACAAACAAATTTATATTCAATGTAATGATTCGTTGTTATTTGCATATAAAAATAAAGCTTTAATTGATCAAAATAAAATTAAACTAGATTTTCTATTAAATTTTCTTCACCAGAGTCATGATGCTTAGTGGTTGTAATTGTTCTCATAACGAAATTGTTTTCTCAGTGTATACAATGTGAGCAAGAATACTTACAGAATAAATTTAAATTCAATGACAACATTTGTTGCAAATACCACAAGCAATTAACGTTGCACAAACATTCGTT